GGCCGGGGGGGGGGGGGGGGGGGGGCTGTCAGGAGGGGTTCTTGGAAGGGAGGAGTTAGTGCTGCGTGGAGGTGGTGCCAGCAATCGTCAGCGGGAAGAGGGTGGGACATCAGAAGGAAGGCCTCTTCTCCCTGCTCCCCGTTTGTGCAGCTGAGGCCAGCGTGTCTCCAGATCATAGCCGTGGCTGGTTAGGCAGCTGGAGACAGCTGTCTTGGGAGAAGCTGCCCTGCAAGATGCACCCAGTTTTCCCAGGAGAGCATCCCTGGCCAGGGCTCCCCCGAGGCTGGTGGCTTGAAAAGGCTGGGCAGCCAGGCTGGACGAGGGATGCCATTGGCCAAGAGGCTTCCTAGGGGATAGATGGATGTCCCTGCCTGGACTGACTCAGAACTATGGGCCACGTCCCCCCCCACTCACCAGTTGGGGCTTGGAGGCACAGGACAACCCATCCTGCCATTGGGGGCACTTCTCAAAGGCCTGCCTTCTGCCTCCCTTTCCCCTTCTGTCTCCTCTTTCGAGAGACTTCCTGGCCTGGCCCGTCATCCAAGGCGGAAGTCTGAACTTGGCTCCCTGGCTGGGCCTTTTGCACCAGTAGAAATCGGGGAGAAAATGAACCTGATGTTGAAAATGCCTCTTATTTCCTTTGGCAATTTGGGCCTGACTGCAGCTCCCCCTCTGGCTGCTTGTTTTGCTCTTTCAGCAGAAGAGGTGGAGAACGCCCAGAGGGATCGGTCCCACATCGAAAGCACCCTGAAGCTGAAGGAGGAGAAACCCGCAGACGACTACTCAGGTAGCAGTAGGGCTGCACGCCTGGCCAGGAAGGACCCTGCAAAGGCTCCCCCAAAGGCAGTGGATAGCTATAACAATAGCACTTATATACTGCTCCAAAGTGCTTCGCAGCCCTCTCAGAATGGTTTACAGTCAGCCTATTGTCCCCAACAATCTCATTTTACCCTCATTTTACTGATCCCGGAAGGATGGGGGGGGGGGGGGGGCTGAGTCAACCTTCAATCAGCCAGGATCAAACTCCTGGCAGTGGGCAGAATCAGCCTGCAATCCTGCATTCCAACCACTGCGTGACCATGGCTCAAGATAACACATACACTTTTGAGTCAGTTGCAGCTGTTGTTCCAAGGGTGCCATTTGACTGTTTACGTTACCTTCCGCTTGCTATCGGCCAGCCTTAGATCCACCCAGATAAGTGAGGGAGCTATACAAACTTTTATATTGCATGTACGTGGACAGACCCCTGGTTTCCAGCCTGACTGCCCCTTGCCACCTTTGCCTGCTAATCTTTTCCCTTGCAAGGAAAGCCATGCTTGAGGCATTGTCCTTAAGCAGACCGGACCAAAAGTTTCCCCCCTCTTCTCTTGGCTCCTTATAGCTCTACCCAGCCCCACAACAGCCGTATGATGCTAGACTCCGTCCTGCAGAGTGGGAAGGGTCAGAGGTGTCCTGGAGGGGCTGCCAAAGGGTTCGGGGGCAAGTGCAGCCCTGCACCTCTGCGTGACAGGCCCCACGAGCCCCTGGAACAGCGGGCTGGACTGACTTTTCCTTTTTCTGCCTGGCGTCTCTCTCTTGCAGCCATCCTGCAGCGACTGAGAAAAATTTATCACTCCTCCATCAAGCCCTTGGAGCAGTCCTACAAGTACAATGAGCTTCGGCAGCATGAAATTACGGGTAAGGCAGGGGGGCTGTGGGTCTGGCTGTTGTCGTGCTGCTTGCAAGGGTCTTGCTTCCAGGGGTGGGGTTGGGATGGAGGAGGGGGCAGATTCAGCATAAGACGGCCGAGCAAGGAGAGGTTTTTGGAGAAAGTGGGGTGCTCTCGGGATGAGGCATGCACGGGGGGGGGGGGGGGGGGGGGCTGCCGCAAGATAATGCATTCCCCCACAAGGCCCCCCCCTTTCTGGCTCTCCTACACAGAGAATTCCATGCTGGGAGGATTGAAATGCTGGCCCTCCCCACGGAGTTTCCCCCTTCCATAAGGCTCCTTGTATTTCTGCAATTCTGGGGGTGTCCTTTGCCTGCTGAAGTCTCCCCGTGGCCGGGGGGTTCCCAGACTGACCCAGTGGGTGGGTCGCCTTCCCAAAACTGATGCCCTTTGAGCAGCCCCTGGCCTGGCTTGCCAGCACTGCTCGGGGCCACGGTCTTGGCCCGCTCCCCAGGGCTGGTGGCCAGTGTAAATCAACTTTGGAACCCAAGCGGTGTAGCTTTTCCAGGGCACAGCAGCCTTTGGCTCCCCTGGCTTCTGTCCTACCAGGCCCCCTTGCAAGGGCTGCAGGTGTTCTGGGACTGGGTGCGCCCTCACTTCATCCTTCCCACAGGAGGGGGGTTTCCAGGTGGGGATGGCACCCCTTCTTGCAGCATGAACACTAACCACAGGGGCTTCCTGGGAGAACAGCTGGGCCCCTTCCGTGGCTCCTTGCCCTCCCTGGAAGGCCAAGCTCTGCTTTCGTGCTTTTCTGCCCCAAACTAACCCTCCCCCTCCCCACCCTTCCCTACTCACGTTCCTTTTTCTCTTCTCCAACCCTCCTCTCCTGCCCCACAGCTTACCCTGGACGCACCCTGGGCTCTTCAGCCACAGGTGGGTAGAGCTGCCTGTCCTGTCAGTCAGTCTTGCCAGGCAGTTGCTCCCCCTTCCAGCGCTCAGTCACAGTCCTGCTTGTTGTGGTGGAAGAGAAAGTGGGCCACCCTTGCCTCTCCTTGGCAGCCAGGGAAATGAAGGACATGGAGCCCCCCCCCCCACACACACACCTTGCCTTTTGTGGCAGTAACGGGAAACTTGGGAGAAAGAAAACCGGGAGGGGGTATTGCAGTGGCTTGAGGACTGCGTGGCTGCCAAGGCCCCTGTGCTTCTGCGACTTCAGCCCTTCCTGGGCAAAGGGGCAACGGTCTTCCACCCAGGCATCTGCGGGAGGATTCTGCAGTGTGATTTGGAAGCCTGTAACTGGCTTTTGTCATAATGCAGAAAGGAGTCTCAGGTGCACCAGTTTCCTTTCTGAAATGCAGCAAATGCGGCACAGGGGGGGCTTTCCCTGGGGAGGAGGGACAGAAGTGCCCCCAACTCTTTCCAGGTCTCAGCTGCGCTGCCATCCTGAGGAAGATGTGCTCCCGGCAGCAAATGCAAATGCCTTGCTCAGGGGATCTAGGGGAGGTTGCCCCCTCCCCCTCTGGCCAGCCTCCCTCTCCTGGGGGCTCTCCAGCGTCCAGCCGTTGAGGGGTGGAGAGAGGCTGCTGTGGCATCCCACAGCCCAGGCCCGGCAGTTGCTTCCTGCAGAGCTGAAGGCTGGTTTCTGTCCATGGGGTACCCCCAGCCCACCGTGCCTCCCTCACTTTCCCTCAGTGTTGGTCTTCTGACGCCTTCACCCTGCCTGGAATAGATGCCCCAGGGAGGGCAAGGACACCTGGAGGGTGGCTCATGAAGCGATGCCCCCAGAAGCTCCAGGGAAACAAGGCCTCAAGAGCCTCCCCTGCTTTGTCCCAAATCACTGCTCTTCCCTTCCTTCCGCAGACGGAGAGATTACTTCCAAGCCAATGGTGCTTTTCCTGGGACCCTGGAGCGTTGGCAAGTCCACCATGATTAACTACCTTCTGGGGCTGGACGACACTCCCCATCAGCTCTACACAGGTAGCCTGGGGCCCTGCAGGTCTCTTGCCTGGAGTAGCCAGAGCGTCCAATCCAGGAAGGGCATGCTGGCAAAGCTGGAACAATAGGAAGCACCTTCCCTTCCCCTTGCCAGCCAGCCGCCCCTTCCTCCCCCTGCTGCGCTGGCTGAGCCCCCAAAGGCGTTTGCCTTGGAGCAGGGCGCGGGGTGGGGCGCTGGCATTTGGCTTCCCTCCTCACCCCAGAGGGCAGCCAGGACCCACCAAAGACTCAGAACTTTCTGGCTTCTGGCCCAGAGCCAAGTCATTGCAGCAGGCATAGCCCTTCTTTCCTCCCATCCCTCTGAACTGGTTCTCGGTCCAGAAGGTTCCTCCATTTGCAGACTGAATTAATTAGCCAGAATGCCTTTTTTTTTTGGCTGTGGGCAAATTCATGCCAGCCCCAGACACTGTGACAGGGGAACTGAAGTAGACCCTACAGAACACACCTCTTTCTCTCCCCACCCCCAGCTCTCTTGACCCCATGTGCAACCCACAAATCATGCTGGGTTTATGGGAAGCCAGCAGAAAATGAAGTGTGTGAGAATGGCCTAGGAAACAAAACTCGCAGTGGGCCTAAGTCTTCAGAGGGTTCTAGAAGAGCAGCTGGGCTTTGGGAGTTGCAGACCTGGCCCCTTGTGAAGAGTGGGGGTTCCGGAGGGCGCCTGCTTGCAAGGCAACGGCCTCCGGAGAAGCACCAGGGGCCATAGCTGACCTGCACCTTGCTTCCCTTTCTCCATGGACAGGGGCTGAACCCACCACCTCCGAGTTCACCGTCATAATGCACGGCCCTAAAGTCAAGACCATCGAAGGGATTGTAATGGCTGCAGACAGCGCCCGCTCGTTTTCCCCTCTTGAGAAGTTTGGGCAGAACTTTCTGGAGAAGCTGATCGGAATTGAGATCCCTCATAAGCTCCTGGAGAGGGTCACCTTTGTGGACACCCCCGGCATCATTGAAAACCGGAAGCAGCAGGAGCGAGGTGGAGTTCCGTGTCTTCTAATTCCAAATCTTGGGAAGAATGGTTTATTCTGGTGGGCATTTTAGCTGCTGCCCATGTTATCCTTTACATAAAACCATCTCAATCCACCTTTGAAAAGGGGATTAAAAGCTCGCTCAGGGCCAGGTTGAAGCAGTTTTTTATACACATTGGTTCCATTCCAATTGTTGCAAGATGCTGCCTCAGTCATTTGTATCCGTATTCAATATTACTTAAAGGAAACTGAATTGAAAAAAGGATGCAAATCATTAATAGAAAAAATACCCAAAGCAAAACATTCAGATTTTGGAACATGTGCTTTATTTACAAAGCGAAAGCCCAAAGCAGGGTCAAGCAGGCGAAGCTCTTCTGCGCACAGAACCCTAGAATTTGGAAGAACCAGTTTTGGGTGTCTGGAAATGGAAGCGAGCAACTGGCCTTTAGGGGCCCTGCCAGGATGGGGGGCAGTTTAGAAGGCAGCAAACTCCAAAATTAATGCTGTATCCCTAAGTACCCCAATGTTCAAAGCTTTTCAAAGCTTACCTAAAATAAGAATCAAACGTTTTAAGCATCAGAGCTGTTGCCTGAGAGACTTTGCAATTTGGCTTATCCACCTGCTATTATTTTCTTCCTCTTGTTAAGTGCTCCTTCTTGCATCCAGCAAATCATTGCCCAGAGACAGGGCCCTTTGCTGCTCTGTCCGCACGGTCCGGAGCCATGGCTGAGTGGACACCAGCTCCCCCTTTCAAAGACCACCAAGCCCTCTCTCCTTCTCTTGCAGGCTACCCATTCAATGACGTCTGCCAATGGTTCATCGATCGAGCCGATCTCATCTTCGTGGTGTTTGACCCGACCAAACTGGACGTGGGGCTGGAACTGGAGATGCTCTTCCGCCAGCTGAAGGGCCGGGAGTCTCAGATCAGGATCATTCTGAACAAGGCGGACAGCCTGGCTACTCAAGAGCTCATGCGGGTATACGGCGCCTTGTTCTGGAGCCTGGCCCCCCTTATTAACGTCACTGAGCCCCCCCGCGTTTACGTCAGCTCCTTTTGGCCCATGGAGTACCAAGCTGAAACCCACCAGGACCTCTTCTCCAAGGAGGAGATCTCCCTTCTGGAAGACCTGAACCAGGTGATCGAGAATCGGCTGGAAAACAAGATCGCCTTCATCCGCCAACATGCCATCCGGGTTCGCATCCACGCGCTCTTGGTCGACCGCTACTTGCAGACCTATAAGGACAAAATGACTTTCTTCAGTGACGGAGAGCTGGTCTTCAGAGACATCGTGGAGGATCCAGACAAGTTCTACATCTTTAAATCAATCCTGGCCAAGACCAATGTTAGCAAGTTTGATCTGCCCAACCGCGAGGCCTACAAGGATTTCTTTGGGGTTAACCCCATTCACAGCTTCAAGCTGCTTGCGCAGCAGTGCTCCTACATGGGAGGCTGCTTCCTAGAGAAGATTGAGAGGGCCATCACCCACGAGCTGCCTGACCTGCTCGGGAGTATCGGCCTGGGGAAGAAGCCCAGCGCCCTCTCCTGCGACACAACCGGCTGTGGGGAAACTCCAAAGAACCGCTACAAGAAGCACTAACAGGCTGCCAGTGTGACCCTCTTGTGCCCCGGTTGATGAATGAGCTTATGTCTTATCTGTCCAAGAAGCCAAGGTCTGGTAGCCCTTCTGGGGGCCACAGAGCAAGCAGCTGGTGTCATAATGGCAGGGAAGTTGGGTGGGCCTAGGAAAGAGAATAAAGCACTGTGAACACCTGTCACGGCTTAATCTTTCTTACTTAAAAAAGAGGCAATGTATCAAGGAGAGGTAAAATTGGCTAAGGCCTTGCATAGGCTAAGCAAGAAGGAAGGACCAGAATGTTGATAGAAGGCAAAAAAGGCCTCCTGACCACCAGGGGAAGCCAAACATGGCCCGTCCCTCATAACCTCTGGCTGCATTACATGGAGCTGAGAAACACAGGATTTCAGCACACAACCAGTTTGACTTGCAGGAGCAGCCATTTAACCAGACACAAAAAGCAATGGAGCCACAGAGGCCTTAGAAGAATTGGCAAAGGGTAGCTCTCGGGTTGCCAGCTCCTCCTCCTCCTCCTCCTCACCACCATTCTAAGTTAGCTCCTCTTCTCATCTTGGTGAGCTTTTTCTGAATTGTTTGGAGAACTCTCCGAAGCATTGCTCTCGTCTAGCAGGAAGAAGTGCTTTTACCCAGTGAATGGGGCCTGTTCCCTGAGGAATCTGGATGCCCTTTCCTTCCTTGCCTACTTTATATCCTTGATTTTTTTAAATATGTATTTCCCTTAGCCTTCTGTTCTCAGGCTTGCTGGATTCCCCTCATATCCCTCCTGCCGTTCCTTTCACACATCAATGTTTTGCAAGTTGCATGGAATGAAAAGTTTTTGCAGCCTGTGTACTCTATTATTTGCCCGGTTTGGTGCCCTACCGAACTTACAGGCTGCACAGTGGGAAACCTCACCCGTTGCACTGAGTTGGGGGCTAAGAGGTAAGCGGAGTCTGAAGGGGTGGTGTAGGTAGTCCTGTCCTTGGCAATGCCGAAAGGGAGGGAATGGAAATGTGTGGTTTGCTGGGCAGGACACGGGGGTGGGGGGGTGGGCAGGTGCCTTGGTTCGGTTACAAGAAGGATCCTGCAAGACCACTGGATCTTCCTAGGAGCCCCAAGCCCTGGCCTTGCCAGTCATGTTCCTGAGAAGCTGACCTGTGCCTGTGCTAATAACGGGGCCTGGGATTGCTTGGCAACCAGATGGACTTCCACAACAATGGAAACACAAAATATCTCAGAAGGTAATTGATCCTGGGTCTGGAGGCATCCAGCCGCTGCCCACTTGAGACCTGAGAACAGATGGCTGTGAGAACAGTGAGACCACCTCTCCCTTCCTGCCTTGGGAATTTGTGCTCTTGTGGTCCATGGATGTTCCGCCTGAGCATCCTCTCCCTTTGGTAAAATGTCAGACCCAAACCATCCACCTGTGGTTGTGTGCTTCTTTTGACCAGAATTGTGGACAGATGTATTTAAAGGAATTACATAGCTGTGTAATACATTTCAGTGGCTCACAGTAATAGTCTATATTTCGAGACACTATGTACTTCAGCCCTTCTAATAAATTCTGGTATTTTTCAGCCACATTTCTTGGTGTGTTGCCTCTCTTTCTGAGTGGAAAGGATGAAACAATGAGATCTCACCAAGGAAGAGGGCCAACAGGGACTTTTCCACAGCTGATCCACCCAGAATTCATTGCTGGGACTTCTTTCCATGGGTAAAAACCCTCTGGTTGACAGCAAGGCCTGTGCAAGTAAGAGCCACCACTTCAGAGAGAAGTGTAAAAGCTTTGCTTGGAATAAGGCACTTTCACAATCAACAGGGCAAAACAGGGAATCTCCTTCCAAAATGAACGGCTCCCTTCTTTTCCCCTCCATGCCTGGATTTGCTTAATGACTTCATCACTGATGGGGACATTTTTGTGTGTGGAAAGTATCCATAGGCCAGGCAGGAGAGTCAAGGCTATGCTTCTGGGGGTGTGGGAGGTGTGTGTGCGTGTGAAGCGGGAAGGTGGCTGGAATTAGGAAGCACCTCCAGCATAGAAGCTGTTTTTTTAACTCGGCTTTTTCATTCCCCCCCCCCCCCCCCCCCTTTTTTCCTTTTTCAGTCCCTCTTCCCTCCTCCCCACCCTCAACTTTCTCCGCCTTCTCTGATCACCCCCCCCCCTTTTTTGTCCCGCTACAACTGGTGACAGGGGAGGAAATGCCCACAGGATGCAAGTTAGTTACCTCTGCATCAAGGAGTTCTGCCCCCATCCCACCCCGTTTTTCCCCCAATAGAAATGATTTCCAAAACGAAGATGCTTCCAAGCATGGAAGGTGAACACCTGTGCTACCACTGGGTACAGCACCTCTGCCCGCCGGCCATTGCTGAGGGGGAGGCACCCAAGGATGCCCAGAGGACTCTCGAAAGCCCCGTCAGTCGCTCTCCCGGGAAGCGGGCGGCGGTTTGTGTTTTGCCGAGATTCATGAAGCCGTTTCCCCCTGGAGGAAGGCGTTCGGTTGAGTGCCGAAGCTGCTGCGGCCGGGAGGCTGCGAAAGGATCCCAGGCGGCAGCGCCCTCTCTTCCCCTCACACCCCATTTCCCAGGCTCCCCTCCCCGCGGAGCCACTTGCGGGGCGGCCCGTCGGTTTTCATGTTCAGGCGCAGCAGCCTTTCCGGCCTCTTGCTGGGCAACCGCCGAGGAACTCAGTCCGCGGAATGACTGGCACGGCCGGCGACCCTCCCCAAGCAAAGGGCGGCCGTCCCGGTCCCCTTCTCTCTCTCCCGCCTTCCCTGCCGGCAGCAGAAGCGGCTCCTCCGCCCGCAGCTACCAGGCTCCCACCGGAGAAGCTCAGGAGCCGCCCACCCGGGGTCGCCGCCGCGCTCGCCTCCTCCCCGCCCCCGGAGCCCCTTCGGCCAGGGCGGGTCCCGGGCGGCGGCCTGGCGGAGTCGCTTCCCGCGGGACGGGCCCGGACCCCAAGCCGGGCGATCGGGGGCGGGTGGCAGGCCGGTCGGTCCCCCCACCCCCACGGGCGCTCGCGGGCGGGGTACGAAGAAAGCGGCTGCGCAATTAGCCCCCGCTGCGCGTGCGCAGATCGCGCCCCTGGCCGTCTCCCGCACCGCGCGCAGGCGCTCCTGGTCCCGCGCGCCAGTGACAGCAGCCTCGGCGCCGCCGCCGCCGCCCCTCCCCCTCCTTCGACGCGGCCCGTGAGGCGTTTCCAGGCAGGCGGCGGCGGCGGCGGCGAGGGCGGGGGGGCAGCCGGGCGGGGGGCTCCGGCG